ATATTTATACTAAGTCAATAAAACAAAAGAAAAATTTATCTAAAGTAATACGAATATTATCTAGTATATATGAAAATAAATCCACATCACTGGAATAAATATGCAGGAATCACATAAGAATTCATATTAATACACTATCATTAACTGTCATGATAAGATTAATTAAACATAAATTCGTAACCAGAAGAATCATAATCAGTAATATTTGTTCAAACATTTCATGGAGCTTTTTAGCGATAAAAAAACGGAATGTTTTTTTAGAAAACTCTTTAATCGGTTGCATTTGTCTATTTTTAATTTAGACTTATAATAATTTACGTGATGTTTTATTTTGCTAGTTACCGTCACAAATTATACTAACTAAAAAGAATTATATGGGGCTTCTTAACCTAGCCACGTCAAATTATACACATTATGCCAAACAATGCCCCTATCAGCTATAACACATTTTCTATCTACACTGTTTATTTTTTTTGAAATTTTTTTTTTCTAAATGGTAAATATTTCATTGAAAATGAATAAGTTTTAGGTTTACAAAATGAATTACAAACCTATGAAATGGTCTCACGGCAAAAAAGTAAAAACATGAGAGTATAATTCTAACTTTTTCAGTCCATACACTCGACATGAACCTGAAGGTAAATGGAGATCAACGAAGTGATAACGATACAAATTGTTCTTCTTTAAACAGGCGAATAAATGAAGTTGCTTAATGCCTATCAAAAGTCGAGCTTACCAAAACCGTTAGCAATAGAAGCCTTTCAATGGAGACTAAAAAAAGCGTCATCAACGGCAATGACCATGAAGATTTCGATCACATACTCCTCTCGCGTCATGTAAGAATGACTTCAAGCACAATTCCATGAGCTAACACCAATAAGAAATCTCCCAAACCGATATAAGCGAACGATGCAAGATCCCCCTACCAAGATCATCGGATAGTACAGAGTTGGATATAGAAACACTACACAATCAGTCTTACTAGCTACTCTAAAGCACACAGTTTAAGCAATCTAACCTATACACTTAGCCAAGCAAACAGCATTAACGGCACCAACAGCAGGACGACACAATAAACAACAGGGCCATAGACACACCATCAAACCTAGATATACGGAGAAGCGAAGCAAACGATGCAGTAACCAATCCTCCAACGGAGGCAGAACCAAATCGAGTCCACATCTCCATTAGCACCGAAGGGAATTCAAGCAATCACCAAAGACTATATCTCACACCTGAGACGACACATGACCACTCACCTGAAGTATCGATAGGTGTCCACAACCCGAAGACAACCGAGGAGCAACAAAATCAGCAGGCCCTATAGTCAAATGGAGGAAGAAGAACCAACCAACACGATACTATGACCAGCAACAAATCGAATAGGGATGGGCCTATGAGAACGAGGTTCTAGCAATAAGCAACAAGAGAAACCATCGAGAAGCGATGCAAACTTAGTCGCCACCGCTAGAAATCTCAAAGACCGCAACCCCTAGAGGACAACACTAGGCTTCGAGGAGGGGACAGGCGACTCTTCCACATGAAACCACAACCGTCCCCAAACAGTGTAGCCCGACGGAGAAGAGGCAACACCTCCAGAAAAAGATCCAGGCATGGCGGATCTTCCAAAGCCAAGCTTGGAAGAAGTTGCGAGACCTAAGGGGACAGAAAAGTGACTACGGCCAGAGTACGCCGCTCCCTGAAATTCATATTTTTTCCTTTCGTTATAGAAAAAACTCTAAACGTCTCTAAAGGCTAATAAAACCTAAACCTCTTTGTTTGGTCTTTATCATGGCCTTTCAAATCACCTAAACTAAGAGTTCCATATAAAAAAATAATATTTCTTGAGATATTTGGCATAATTTTTCCCAAATTATAAATCAAATTTCCAATATTCCTCTTTTAACTTTTTTGCAGTAGGTATCGTAGCCAAACCAATGTTCCATGTATTAGATGCAGCTAATATTATTTTTAAGATTTGTTCATTTAATGCTTCTTTTGCTAGCTTTGTATATGAATTGTTCGTATGACCATGCTTCCGAAACAAATATTAAACCTTAGATGTCCTTGATTTTTTCATCAATTTATTGGTCTTTATAATTTTCAGTGAGAAAGGTATTTTAGTTAAAACTTAAGGAGGTACGTGTTGGTGCATAAAAATTGCTTCAACATTTTTCCATGTGGTGAAAATATATCTTCCTGTAAAAAAATGTGTTTTTCCCTTTCCTTTTCACAGAGGCGTCGTGCCTTGAGATCAAAAGAGACAAAGCAACTTAGAGACATGCCAGAAGTGGAGCAGCATATTAAAAGTAGACCATATATCATATTTTTAGTGAACTATGAAAGACGAGTTAAAGCGGTCCTCCTGAAAGTGACTAAACCAAATGGTGAGCAAGATATCAATTTGTTGTTGTTGCTAA